CTTGATTTCTTCAGGTACAATTAAAGCTAATCTTAATGCCACAGAACTGAAATTCTGACAATAGTGTGTTTCTAACTGTGTGGCAGTTAGTGGGAAGGTCCTTTCCTGAGGATTGTTTTCAGAGTTCAGTGTGTTTGAACTTGACTGGCCTGTACAGAACTCCAATCTCAACCCCAACCTACATCACCTACATCAGTGCCCAACCTCAGGACTTGTGTGACTAAAATCTCTGCAGCCAGATTCTAAAACCTTGTGTAAAAGCCTTCCCAGAAGTGTGGAGGCAAGTTGTAACAACAAAAGTCCACAGTTTTTGGCTGCAATGTTCAGATGTCTGATGCATACTTCTGGCCCTGCAGTGTAGAACAGCCGAGGTGAGAGACAGGCAGAGCAACCTTTCGCTATTTCAGAGTGCAGCCTCCCTGAAATTCACTAGTTCCTTTGAAAACCCCTATTGATGTTGGACTGTTGGATTTGTTTTGGTTTTACTGTTAGCTTCCAAAGTGCAGAGCCGCCCCCTTTTTCATTGTCTCCAAATATCAGGAAAGCATTTTACCCCTTTGGAGGATAAACACATCTTAGGTTATCATACCTGCAGGGCTACACGTTAGATAATGTGATCATACAGTAGATTAGATGGAGCCTGGAGGCTGCCATTAACCCTATACAAAAATATATTTCTATTAAATTAAAGCCCTGAGAAGAAGCGTTACATGTGACTAATATGATGATGTAAAATGCTGGTGGAATCACTGTTGACAAGGTGGTTGCAAAAAACCTCAAAAGTCATCCAAGGTAAGTTTTTTTGTTTTGGGTTTTTTTTTTTTTATTCAGTGAATTAGCCTTGGGTGATCCGATCAGTAATTGTTAGTGTGAGCACATTTCTTTCAAAGCAAGAAAGCAGAGATCAAAGACTGTGGTGTCCTTTAAATGAGAAGGTTGCATTTTTCATTTTTCTCAGTTTCTCAGTAAAAAATAATTTATGTAAAATAATTTTTTTTCGGACCTTGATTATTATGTACTAAAATGATAAGTATGTGTGAAATGAAAAGAGCTGTAGTGACAAACTCGCAGAGAATTATCACCCAACTATGCAGCTTTTCTGAGCTTTCCAGCCTTTCTGTGCTCAGCGACTAGCTGGGGAAGATATTTTTCTCAGGAGTCAAAAAAGAGGGTAAATATTGCACCTACATTCAACAGGAGGAAAGAAACACAACTCCAAATGAATGCTTATGCTGGTTTATGTGTGTTTGATGTGTAAATAAGCCACTGTTTGCTAACATGTTCACCGTATCCTCTTTATATGTCATATGTTAATATTGTGTGTCCTCTTTTCCTGGTTTTGGATGACATTGTATGACACTTCACACGCACAAATCCACTCAAAAACTGAAGCACTGTTCTAAAGATGTGTGCAATGTATATTAGATATCCAGTGAGTAAGATTTAGTGGCATCTAGGGATGTAATTGCAGATCGCAAGTCTGTCGCTTCACCCTCCCTTTCCAAGGAGAAGGAGAAACTACGGTGGCTGTGAAAGTAGAGCCAGTGTTTGTTCCTTCTGGGCTACTGTAGAAACATGTCGGTTCAACATGGAAGGCGTGCCGAGGCATCTGTAGATATAAATGACTCATTCTAAGGTAACAAACATAAGGATTCCTATATTCAGGTGATTATACGCTGATTAATATTCCATTTATGCCAATAGAGCCTCCTAAATGTTACACACTGGACCTTGAAATGGCAAGTGAGTGATAGAAAGAGTACTTCAGCTTGATGCTGCCTTACTGGATAATAATTCTTACTGAAACATAAGTAACCAAGAGTTAAACTGACCAAAAACTCTCAAAAATAGATGATCTGGATCATAAGCGTGATAATACAATAATATTCATAGTCATTGGACACCATGTTGTGTGTCATTATCACTTACATTTTACCCCCACACTGCTAAACGTTTGCAACTCAAATAGACAAAAAAGGGAGTAAAGGGTAGGAAACGTTTGCATGCCTGTTGCTGAATCTGACAGAAGTGCAAATTAATGCAATAGTTCCAAAGTGTCTCGCCTGAATGATGCCCTCAAGTCAAGGAGAAACACTTAACACAACACTGGCTTTAAAATGTGCTTAGACAGAGCAGCTCACTCTAACTCATTGCTGTTTAATTACTGAGCTCATATGTTGGAGCGGGAAGTGGAATAAATACACAAATAAATAAAAGTACATAAGCAGCACTTTATTATCTGCAACAATGGTAAGGGGTGGATAAGAGGCCTTTAATAAACATGTTTTGACAATAAGCCAAAATTAGACACTTTAAATTTCAGCAGCAATGAAAGCATTTCAACTGAGTTCACAATGGAAGGCAGGACAAACAGGTACCCTTTAATCACGTCATTGTGTTGGTGTCAACAGCATTCTTATTTGTCATCGTAAGTAGTAGCTGTGAAGTTTACTGCTCCTCAAGGTCAGCTCACTTCCTGCCTTATCTCATCAGCTTTCATCAGCTGATGAGATAAATCATGGAAGGATTTTCCTGTCAGCTGAATACAGGCAGGAAACCGTGTGCGGGGTCTCGTGTCTTCAAGCCGAGGGCCAGGCAACTTTTAACTGATGGTGAAGTAAAGAAACAGGCTGTCGGGCGGAGAGCGGGTGAGCCTGCCGCGGTCAGAATGATAAATGTCTGAATGTTAGCACTCGCAAAAAGGAGACAAAGTGTTCCTGAAGACATGAAACTTTATTTTTCCCTCCTGCGGAGATCTTTGATCTTGCATTAGCAGGTTGAGAAGAGAGGGACAGAGTTGACAGTACAGATGGCAGCACTTTTCCTCAACAAACTTTCAGGTCTAAGTGCTTTCAGCAGAGGCAAATGATGCCATATATTGAAACAAATGTCCCCTCTGGTTGGTAATAACTGTGCAGGTCTTCTGTTTTCTGAATCTTCTGTGAATATCCCCTTGGAAAGTAAAGTAAAACTCTTACTGCAAATACCCATTTGATCATTTTACTCCCATGTTAATCTGCAACATTAGGTAAATTGTTTACATTTGGTATGGAGTAAATAACAGAGTGTAATTTGTGTCATTTCTATCATTTAGATTTGTAGGGGTTTTTGGGTTTTTTTTTTTTTGTCTTTTGGCAAAAACTTACTGAAAATACTTAAATTGTTCAGCCTCTGGGATGAACTGTCAAACAGTCAATACTTATTGCAGCCAAAGTGGAAGGAGCTGAAGGTGTTTTGGGCTGTGAATTCAAGAGGCTCATCCAGCTACTCAGAATGACTAACCCTTTGAAGAATAAGTAGCTAAAATCAAAGGCACAAAATATCAACAGATAATGAGAGGAATTATATACTCATGCAGCATAATCAAAGTGTTCTGTAGTAGAACAAGTCCACTGTGGGTGCAGAGGTCCCACATTTACCTCTTTAATTCAGAGGTTGTCCTCTCGCTCTGAGGAAGAGTCTCCGTGTTCCTATAGGGAATTTCTGAAACAAAGGATTGTCAGGGAGGAGAACGCCAAAGATAATGAGATAAATGTTAGACTTTTTCTGCTTGATGCTGGACTTTTGATGCTGCTGCGCAGATAAAACACATTTGATGGATTCTTAATGCTCCGTATGAGCAGTAAAAAGAGCAGTCACACTGATTAACAGTTTGAGAGTTAACTTATTGTGTTTCAGGTGCTGACAATTATGAGTGTAAGGTGTGATTATTCTCTTTTTTCTGTGAACTTTTCCTTTAAACAGGCATATGTGCCACAGTGATGTAAGAGTGTTCAGGCTTTTATTTCAACCAAATACTGCACAAATTGGCTGTACTGATCAGTTCATCTAATATGGCTGACATTAATTACAATGTATTTTGTAGAAACCAGTTCACATTCCTGGAATGCCTACTTTAAAATAGAATACACTAATTAAGAAATTATCTTTCAAAAGAATGTGATATTTTAAGCAATGTTTCCTCTGTAATCAGTCTAATACTTTTGTTTATGAACTGATAACTGCAAAACAAATGAGATTGCTGTCATTTGTATCTATTGCTAATTAGTAAATGTTAACAAGTTAACAGGCTAAACTTAGATGGTGAAATAAAGGTTTGTTTTTAGCATAGCATAGCATAGCTGAAGACTCATACTCTTCAAAATTAAGCAAGCACAAAAAATTATTTTAAATCTTTTTTTGCTCCTAGATGCCCAATGTTTGTGCCAATATTAGTAGTGCTGATACAATAATAATTAGGTTTACTGCCAATTAGGTTCACATACAAGTGGGTTGCCTTGGTGTTTTGGTGCATAAAAATAAACATTGTATGTAGAAAATATAAAGAGAGATAAAAATCAAGTACTGCAAATCAATATGCATAAATATAAATATAAACAACTTATTTTTTTCCTTTGCCTTTGCCTTGATGCCATTGAGGCAATGAATTCAATAATGTCTACAGACTTTCTGCTTTCCAGTATTAAGGAACTTCTTACTGCTGTGTACTGTATACTGTACAAACCGCTGTGCTGCATGCATGCAAATAAATCTAAATTGCAAATTAGTTTGACATGAAATATGCTAACTGCCTGCCACAGTCAGTGGTGTTCAGCAGCACATAGTATGTACCAACAAACAACATGCCTGCAGCAGCGTTCAAATCATCTTTTTTTTTTTATCTCTTCTTTGATCATGATTTTCCAGTAAACAACAGACAGTGTGTAACACTTTCACACAGCTGTGATGCCTTCAGTTATTTAGCAGCTGACTATAAAAGTTGATTGACAGGTCACAAAGGGGACTCACTGGCTTAACCTAATTTCCTTGTTGTTATTGTTTATAGCTTCACAGATACAGCAGGGGGCCTGTCTAAAAGAAGCCAGTGACAACAAATAAAACAATAACATTTATTTATTGATTCATAGGTTATACATTTCATGATATAATAGCGATATATTATTATTGGCAAAGATACTATAATCCAATTGCATTTCTATACATAAATACAAAATCTGAGGTAGGGCCTCAAAGATTGATGACATTGAAAATAAATAAATGCATTTCACATATATGATATATATTTTCTTATTTTTTTATATCTCACACCGATTTTAAAAGATATTTGTTATATATCTAGTCTCTACTTTCAAAACAAAGGATGTCATGAGCTGTTGGAGGCACATATCTATATCCATAGGCAGCAGTACCTCACATAGAACACACAGAAATATATGACATTACTCAAGTAATTGGAAATTTAACCTATGCATTCATAGGTCGGACAATAAAGTGCCAAAAAGACACAACAGACATAACAATAGGAATACTGTTACCATATGAGATAGATGATAAGCTATTCTGTGGTGTTATTTTTGAAATACATACAATATTCTACCATTAGAGGACATCTATAAGGCCAATGGTTACCTGAAGATGTTTTGTAACGTATTGGCAAACATCAAGGAACACTACATGGGACATGAATGGCAGTATCTCAACCTCTTATACGCAGATGACACGTTCCTTTTTTCTTCTAAAGTTTGTTTTTCTGTTTTCACTACAACCCTAGTTTAAAGTACTCTTTCTTTGGTTACCTATACTGCCCAAAGTTGACTTGCAGGCAAAGCGAATTGACAGTTACTTTTTCTCTTTTTTTTATGTCTTACTCCTCTGTAAGAAGGACAATAGCAACCCTCCGTTTCTAAACATTATGTCGAACAAAAAACTCTCTAAAGTAAACATGCACGGACTTATATTATTGAGAGAGAAAGGACAAGGATTACTATACATGGACATTGAGTTACGGCAACACAAACTGCACATGCAAGCTCTTCAGTGTTATATTTTGTGAAGCAATGTAGTTTTAACTGAACCCTAAGCCATTTTTTTTTTCTCAAACCAAAAGCAGAGAAGCCCAGTCGAAATGGAAACAAGGACACAAAACACATAGCTATTTATCTGTGGTCCTAAAGGAAATCATTCAAATCTATCTCGGGGAATAAAAGGACCATACCGTCCAATACATCTAACACATGATTTCAAATTCCAACCTGCTCGCACCCCTGCTCTCAAGCGAGTGGTTGCCATAGGGTTGAATTTTTTGGAGCATATCAGTGTTAAAAGTTTGTTTTACACAGCTCATGTTCACAATTGGTGGTCTAAGATCCTCACGTCTGTCAGGAAAGAGAAAGAGGACCATCAGGCCGAGGCATCCTAGGAAAGAAAAGTCTTGTAAATCTCCTCTGCTTCTTTCAGCGATCTACTCTGAGACTGGCCATGCAAACATCTGATTGACAGTGGAGTTCAGTAAAACGAATACAGAGACAAACACACACACACAAGCATACACAGACATACATTATTATCACGTTTGAACAAATAGAGCTAAATACACAGTATTAACAAAAGCAACACTGTGGAGCAAGCAAGCTATTTAACAGCAGGCCTTTTTGTGCTCATTAATTGATTATGTTTTGTTTTCAAACCGTACAACCTCTTAAATCATATCTGTGCTATTTCCGTGTCAATATTATTAAAAGACATGGCTTAGAGAAATAGTTAAGGAGAACCTCTGAGCAACTGTTATTGCATCCATACCTGCAGCCTCTATTTAAAACACTTCAGCCACTCAACTCAAGTAAACGCCTGCAGTGTTAAAAGCATAATAAAGCCAATCGACATTGTGTCATCATGAAAATGCATATTCAACTGGTCAAAGCATGGAAAGTACTAATTGCTTCTGAGTAGATGCATTGTGTTACTTTTTAGGTAATTGGTTGAAAGCTGACAAAGTAAAGGTTGGCTGCCTGTCATGTCACATTTATAGATAGCACGCCTGTTGAGCTGCACAGGACTGTTCTTTCAGGCTGCTGTGGTGTAACATCCCGAGATGACTTTACGCCCCCAGGAAACACTCTTACAGTAGCTAACTTCTGCTGATGATGTCTTAACAGCACAACTTGAAGGGAAATATGCTCTAAATTACAGTAATTTGAGTGATTCTGATGGACCACAGTGTGAGCAAGACGACCGTGAAGTTGATGAAAGCCTTCTCCATGTGCAAATAAAACTGATTCCACAAACTGGCTCAAGAGACAATACAATTTCAAGTCGATTACAAGGCATTCAAAATTAGATCTTAAATTAATCTTAACTAATTCTTGTTTTCCATACATATAAACATAATGAAAACCAAGATACTTGATTTAGCACTGCACACAGTTGGCCAAAACAGGCTAAGTCACTTGTATGTCCTGTATAATCATTGCAAGGCGCATTTAAGCAACAGCAAGCGAAAAGCAAAGTGATGCTGCACTGAGGTCATCAGGAAGTAGTATTTTGATTCTGATCCTTTACAGGACACTTCCAGACTCCTTCCAAAATAGTTTAGCATTAGGATGGCTCTTCTCTCTGTTTCCTATGCATTGAATGCTATTATTCCTACAACTACCGGAGTAGTCTGATGGAATCGAGTATACCTGAGACCCTGTTTTCATGAGGACACACAGAGAAGCAAGAGGCATAAGTCTGAAATGGCAACGAGGTCTCCGGAGCTCTACCACAAACATCAAGAGACAAAGTACACTTTCCAGGAAAGAAGGAGGCCATTTTCTAGTCTAATCTTCATCTACTCACACATAGCAGCTGCTCCTAACATTATGAGGACGCGACAACACACACACGTACAGCTTGAAGATTTTTTTTAAGAAGTGTACACATTGTACAAGATATTATCCAGCTAGCAAGAGAAACGTGGTTCAGAGAGACATGAAATACACTCACACACACATTCTCAATCTCCATCTTGCTAGCTCTCTCCTCCGATGATGCTATACATATATAACTCTATATGTATAAAGTATATATATACATATATATACACATATATATTTATATACTTTATACTGTTACTCTACTGATGTAATGTACATTGTAAAGATGGTTTTCACAGATGGCTTGACAAGTTCACAACACATAAACGCACCATCTAAAATATATGCACAAAGTGACTATCAGGTCACCTTTCAAGACCTAAAAAGGTTAAATGGCCACGTTATCACCTACTAAAGGAAGGATAGACTACTCTAGTGGTTACCTACATTAGGAATGTGCTACTTTACATTATAGGATAATACAATAGAGGATAACAGGTATACGGCTCAATAAATAGATAAAGAGAGAGGGTATCACAAATGGTCCCTCAGATTCGGAGAGAAAAAATAGACTCAAGCTTCTATCATACTGCAGAGTCATCCAGGCCAAAGTGTATCTACTCAAAGTGGTAATCAGGATGCATTCGCTACTCTACTGGGACGTAGGAGGCACAAATTGCAGATCTTGTAATCTATTTTTAACAAAGCAAGAGCGACTGAGCAATAGCTAATGTGAATATACATATATACTGCTGGAACAAAATGCGATACCAGTGCATACTGTGTTTTTTTTCTTTTTTTTTCCCGAGGCAGTTGATATTATTTGTAGCGCCAATGGAATTTTGTACACAGATGGAACAAAAACACAGATCCCCGTCGAGCTCGTTGAACCGCTGTCGCTCAATTTTCTTTTTGTTTTGTGTCTGCTTGCACCAAGATGATTCATTATCTCTACACACAAATATGATGGCACACACACACACACACAAACACACACACACACAAACACACATACACACACGACTCCATAGGGAGCAGCTACGGTGAGTCTAATATTGCAAGTGCAGTCTGAGCTGTGTCATTTTATGACACAATTTTTCTCTTGGAATAAAGATCCCTGGGAAGGGTTCTGAAGTAATCAGTGGTCATGTGTGGGAGGCAATGATAGCCCATTAACCGAGTACAAAGCAGCAGCGGAGGAGTAGACTCCACCTGGGCAGCCACTCCTCCCTGGCAGAAGAGAGGAAGTGGTGAGGAAGAAGAGAGGGAAGAACAAAGGGAGCCTGTTTCCACATCCATGATACAGGGAGGAAGACAGGAAGCAAAGAGGGTGAAGTACGGATAGGAGAAAGAGAGAGGGGAGGAGGGAGAAGAAGAGGTGGAAGTTGCCCCCCTCACGGTGCCCCCTGCTGGGGCTGAAGGTGGTGGATGTGGTGCAGCTGGGGTGGCTGCTACTGGTAGGAGCCGAGCTGGAAGTCCTTGGGGGGCAGTTTGAGCCCCAGGGAGTTGGTTCCCAGAGGGTCCATCATGTTCTTGTAGCGTTCCCCACGGTGCTTCATCAGGAAAGGACCCCAGTCGGGCTGAGGGGAGCAGACCAGCTTCAGACGCTGCGAGAGGAGAGGCAACACAAAGCAAGTTTATATGGGAAGATATAATAAATCTTATCTGTAGTGGGTGATAAGGCACAGAGTTGTGTTCTCTAACAGTAGCTTGCTTGTTATAGCTCTTATGTGTAGAATATTTAGCAGTGTGCATTTCGGTCTGCCACAGTATCTGTTTTGATACTATTCCTGAACTGAAGAAAAGGGAATCAAAAGGCAAGTTATAATATATTGTCAGTGCCTGGAAGGGGGCAGTTGTCACCAGCACTTCTGATTTGTGTCCATGAGTCCCCTTACTTCTTACTTCTTACTGCCAATAATGCTTTTGCCAAAGTAGGACTTGTACAAACCCCAAAACACCCACCTGATATTTTTCTATTCCATAAAGACCCGCCCTACTCTGTTTCTGATTGGCTGGTGTTTGTTTCTTTCGTTGCAGAGGTCGGTTAGGTTTAGCCAAAGGGATTGAGATGGGTAGGCTTAGAAAAACCTGCCATGGTCAGAGCCAATAAGAGGTAGAGGGGCGGGCCACTAGCTTAAAGCTGAAACAACAGGGCTGAAAATGTCCTTATTTAAAAACACCAAAATAATATGGGTATGTTGTGGTTAGGGTTATGGTTGTACTGAATTAGGGTACTGGAACCATTTTTGGTTCAATTCAGGTACTAGATATTGCATACTTAACTATTACCAAAGTTTTCACTGTTGGACTGCATTTCCACCAAACAAACACACACTTACACACAGATGGCAACGACCTACCACGCAAAGCACAGGCCTAACCGTCAGTAGTAACTGGGCTCTGTGTCTTCCTCAAGGACAACTGCACATACAAATAAGGAGTCTGGGATCGAACTGGCAATCCTGCAATTCATGGACAACCTTCTCACATAGAGTTGAAGTTTTGGATCAAATATTCCTGCTGGTTTATGTTTAGTAGCGGATTGGCCTTGAATATGAAGTATGTGGATTCAACTTGTATAGCCAAGGCTAGCGAGGCATTAATTAATTGTAAGTTTGAAGGTTTAATCTCTGGCACCGTCTGTCCACAACTGAGCAAAACACTGAACCCCAGTCTTACAGGTTGCTCCAAGGCCACTGCGTTGAACGACACTGGTGTGAGAACATGTGGGTGACTGACATTGTAAAGTGCTTTGGTATAAAAGCGCTACATACTGTTAAAGCACCCAACTTATTATTAATGTCAAACATGGCCCTTTTTACTTTATCATCGTAGGTGTGATTATATACTTGGCACTTTGATCTTAATGACATTACAGTTGAACACCTTTTACAGTCTTCCTGTTTGTGGTTCTTTCTGTTTTCATTGTTAACTGGCTCCTCTAGTTTTCCTTACCATGGCTTATGTCTACTCTTGTGACCCTGAGATGATGTAAAAACTGATTTAATGCCTTTTCTAAAAAAAAAAATATCCTCAAAACACGTGGGGAAGTTGTTTTGCAGCAGTAGTATACAATATCGCCTTAATGTAAATTGAAACTATGATGATTATACATTTATTGCAGTCAAGCAAAGAAATTAAAATGTAAGTTGGAGGATGGTCTGTGATTGAGGCTGCTGTCTGAGCTGCTGAGGGAACAGAGATGTTAGGAGAGAAAGCCACGATCATCATCATCCATTAATCTGAGTATTTAAAAGGGACCCGCCGGACTCCCAAAAAAAATTTTCAAATTAATACTCAGCCAGCAGCCCGCCTCTCCCTGCTAATGAGCAAAGGATGAGACTATTGATTTCTCCGACAGCGTGTGTGTGTCTGTGTGTGTCTGAGCGTGTGGGACAGTGTGTGTGTGTGTGTGTGTGTGTGTGTGTGTGTGTGTGAAGCAGACAAAAACAAAACATACGTGACAATGTCTCGTCACGGCTTTGTCTCAATTATTACCTCGCTTATGCTGCCGGGGGCGAGGTACATCTTAATGACAAACATGATTGGGATCCAGATGACAGAACAGATGACCATGAGCCAGCCCATAACCATGGACCAGGTGGGGTAGGTGTAGTCCTCGTAGGTCATCCCCTTCCACTGGTACAGACTCAGTACCAGGATGCCCTGCACAAACCAGTGAATCAAGGAAACTAGGCTGTTTTTATATATTTTTTTTTATAGCTCCGTACCATGCCTTCCAGTGAAGCGATTACATTGGTAGACAGCTGAAGAGAAAACGGTGGAAAGCCAGCTCATTACATGAATAATGATCACAAGAAATCACTAACAAAGAGGTAAGAATTTATTTTCGAAATAGCAGCCAGCTTCCATGTTCTGCTAATGTTGTTTTCACACCTGATGTGTAGCCGAGTACACATGAACTGTACTCAAGGCCTCTTATTCAAGTTGACCGTGCCTGAGTCCTGGTACACAACAAACTAGATTTTGGGGTGTACTAATCTGTGTGAAATCCTCCTAAGACTACTGCCGCATTGGTAAAAGAAACAACTGTAAATCTTAAAACAATGGCCCAAATTAGTAGTTTTTTGACTGCTGTCGTAGTTGTTCAACTGTGTAATGTTTTTCTGCATTAACAAGGACTGAACAGTAGATTTCTTCCCAATTAACTGCACTGAACTGAGGACACATAGCTAAAGCTGTGCCCACTGTTCCATATAAAAGAGGATGGATGAGCTTCCTTTTTACTATATGAGCAGTGAGCAGCAGTGAGCAGCAGTGAGGGACAGAGTAGAAACAAATTCTACCTCCATTCTACAGAACATTTGGCTGTGAAGGATTAGAATAAGACGAAGGAGTGGAGAACAAACAGAAAAAAGAAGGCAGACAGAAATAGATTAGCCTGGGGTTGTGCATCAATGAGCTCCCAGAGGAAATCTGATCTCCCTCGAGAGCAGCGGGATGACCAGCCGGCCCAAATACTGCTCCATTTGTCATCGTCACCTCGGCTTTGGAGCTACGGTGGTTTCCATTACAATTACCAACATTAATGCTGGCCACTGTCCAACACTGACACGCTGGTAAATACTGTTCATTGGGATTTACAGCTTCTGCTACACCGCATATGACAAATAAGTGGCCATTTTATAGGGAGTATGCTATGGAAATGAATGTGTGTTTGCAGCAGCTGAACTCATGCCACACTAGCTATTTTGGAAAAACACAAACAACTTGAGACTCGGTGACATGACAGGAATTAGAAGGAAGAGATAATTTTCGATTTCACTGTAACAGGAGCAATTTACCTCCTCTTTCTTTCCAATTGCAAATCAATGAACTTTAAAGGTGGCAGCGGAAATGGCAACATTTTAAGCCGCACATGTCACTGTGTGCCTGAGAGAATGAGATGAGCAAAAAATAAACACACCGTCAGAATGGTTGGAGTCACAAAGGCCCAGCAGATTCTCCAGAATCGGTTTGGCTGGAAACCAATCATCATTTCAATGTCCTCGCAAAACCTCTGCAGACCTGCAGATATACAAAAAAAAGGCAAAGAGAAAATAAATAAAATAAAAGAAGAGCGATGGGAGAAAGTCAGAAAAAGAACACACAGAGAGTGACCTGGGTTTAATAAGGTCCGTTACAAAAAAAGGACCAGCAAATTCAATCCATCCCTGTGTGTGTGTGTGTG